GTGTTCAGTCACTCAGTTGTGTCCAACTCCTTGTGGCCCCATGGACTGTAGCCTACCAGGCTCCTCTGGAATTTTCTAGGAAAGAATACTGGAGCAGGTTGCGATTTCCTCCTTCAGGGGATCTTTCCGACCCAGGGATCGAACCTACGTCTCCTGTGTCTCCTGCATTGGCAGGCGGATTCTTTACTACTAGTGCCACCTGGGAAGCCCATTGGCCTCCTTAGTCATAAGGGAAAGAAACTGAGTCCCTTTGAATCAGTATCTCCTCGCATCTTCTGTTTTTTTCTTCCAATATAGCTATAGCCCAGATAACCTATTACTGAAGTAGGCTGTGTATCTCTAGACTGTCAGATCCATTCAATATATCCTTATTGAACAGATGGCCTGAACTAGTCAGGTAGTAGGCTTGCAGCTGGAAATGCAGAGGTGTCACACCCTTTCTGCCCTTGAGGAACTCCCATTTCATTTGGAAAGTTAGGCATTTAAACAAACACAATCCAGTGTGCTAAGTGCTATAACTAAAGTATAGTGGCTTTTGGAGGTGTGATGTTACTTCCATGTGGATATGAAACACTGTATAGTATTTTGACTTCCTCTGCAGTAACTATGTATCTTAGTTTGTCCAGCAGTTCTGATGTATTAATAAGGCCCTTTTTCATTTTTGGTGTCTTTATTTCAATATAAATTACGTAGTTTTCCTATTTATAAATCAAGAACCAATATATGAAGCTAGTTTAATTGGGGGACATTACATTCCTAATTATTGAGGGTTTTTGATTTGCCTGGATTTACTACATAAGTGGTTGAGGCAGTGGGGTAGATTCCTGATCTGATTCATCTTTCTCACCAGCAGAAATACTTGTACATTTTTTAGTTTACATCAAACATAGGGTGACAATCCTTTGCCCCAGCCTCTTTGTGTTCTTGTAGTAAATGGATTCAACCATAGTATGAGTTTCTAAAAGCATTTCCCCCTCACCCATTTGAGTTTTAAAATAACTAACTACTTAAGGAGTTGACTAAATAGCTGGAAAAAAATGAATACTTGAAAACTACTATTGAAAACTTTTAAAATAGAGTAGAAAAGAAAGAAATCAGAGTCCTTTTTATGTCATGATGGTGTGCTGTTTTATGAAACTTGTCTCAGCTTTTTTATACAAACACACATACAGGTATATGTACTGGGTCTTGATAAAAGTATATTTCTTAATATGGATCTAATTGAATAGAAGTCTGAATTAACTCCTTCAGACAAGCTTACGTAGGCACAGAATGAAGTCCTCAGAGCTGACTCAAGGCTAGAATGCAGAGGTCACCCCAAAAGTACCCAGTTCACATCTTGAATCCTAGTGGAAGCTCCCAGAAAAAAGTAGAATATTGATGCTAGAGACATCCTCTATTGGGGTATCAATGTGGATGATGATTAGGTCAGGAGATAACCATGTTTAGTTGAATGTGCCAGTTGACATTAGGATTTCTTCATGAGCTGATATTTTGGCCTGTGACCTCTTTGAGGACAGGGTCTGTGCATTATTGCAAGAGGTTATAAGAGTGCTGTGCCATAGCAGGAGTTTCCTGTGTATCCTGACTTTTTATTTCTTTCATACAAAGCAACACACCTTATGTTGCAATTAAAGTCATTTCTGCCTCTATCAGTAGAAACTGTGTCTTATCATCTTCATTTTTTCCCCCTAATTCTAATTCAACACCTGAAAGTAGATATTCAGTAAACTCATTCATTCCATATCTGTTTTCTCTGTTATTCTGGAGAGTTTATTTTCTGTCAGCCGTGCTACAATATTTCCAGAAGGCATAGAGGTGAACAGGCTTGATGAACAGCAACTCTGTGAGGAACAAACTCTTTTGTGGCCTAAATGGAGTACAGCATAGCAAGTCACCCTTGGTACCGATTTTAATTCTGTATCATCTTCCTTTCCATTCCCCTTGCTTTAAGTTCTGGTTTTTCTCCTAAAGTTTTGTGTATCAACCCCTATCTCCTACCTTCAAGCGTTTGTTACTACATGTGTGTTTGTCCCATAGATTTTGCTCCCTAAATCACTAAAGTGAAAAGTGGAAGTTGTTCAGTCGTGTCCAACTCTTCGCCACCTCATGGATGGAATTCTCCAGGCCAGAATACTGGAGTGGATAGCCTTTCCTTCTTCAGGGGATCTTCTTAACTCAGGGATCGAATGCAGGTCTCCCGCATTGAGGGCAGATTCTTAACCAGCTGAGCTACAAGGGAAGCCCAAGAATACTGGAGTGGGTAGCTTATCCCTTTCCCAGGGGATCTTCCTGACCCAGGAATCGAACCGGGGTCTCCTGCGCTACAGGCAGATTCTTTACTAACTGAACTATGAGGGAAACCGTAAATTACTAAGGAGCTATCATAACCTGGTCTAAATGTCTCCCTTCTGACTGCTCTTCCTGAGGGCATCAGCTTTATCGGTGCCGCAGTTGGGGAGCCTTTATGGCACAGAGCTTCCTCTCCGTACCAGCCCCAAGCACCTAAACTACCTCCCCAGCTTCAGGAATCGCTGCTGTGTTTCTAATCTCACACAATTTCAATGTGCAGTAAAGATTAAGAGCAAATGTGTAGGCGGAGAATGCAGCCGCTTCATACTTAAAGTTCAGGAACTTTCTTCAGCACTCAAAATATATTTGTGTCTCTTCTTCTAGTCCTGCCCAGATCTGACAGTATTTACATTACTGTTTGAGGTAAAGCAGTTAGAATGTATGTTACCCCAAAGGGAAAAGGCATTAAATCATTACTTAACCTCTCACCTGTTCTGGTTATTAATCTATTTTCTTAGCTTCCAAGATTCCTTTTTATATTCCACTTCGTGATGCTGGGGCGGCGAATCTACAAATGACAAATTCTTAAGCATCTGGCTCCTTGGGGTGCCAGTGGCGGACCCTATGCACTTCTTCCTGTCCGCTTTCTGTTCCTGTCGGTGTCACCCCAGCACTGAGCTTTCACCCCGGAGTGGCAGGGTGGAGTTGGTTTCCAGCTCCTTTGGGTGCTCCCAGAGTCAGTCTCAAGGCACTGACAGCAGTTAGGTTTGGATCCCAGCTTGTGGGCACCCCTCAAGATTCTAGCTTGCTGTAATCTCCTATCATTATTACCCGTGTTACTTTAGTATCTTAAAAAAAAAAAAAAAACTTCCAACACTTGCTTAACCAATTTCCTATATTAAATTACTTTATAGAAATATCTGTTCTTTTCTTCTCCAACTGGATCTGAATCTTACTATGCTCTAAATCAAATTAGTCTCCAGATTATCCAGTTTAATGAGTATGGTTCTGCAACGAGGTGGGCTTTCAATGGAGGCAAAAAACCAAGAAGGCTCTGGTAGGTCATCTCCATCTGGGGCAACAGTGACAGTGTGCTGGAAATCTTCCTAGGGGCTGGAACTGGGGGAGAGGATGAAAGAATCAAGAGGTGGACAGACATGGGGGATGAAAGTACACTGGGTCCAAATGGTCATAATTTTGCTTGATCTGTCTTAGCTAAGAGACTCTGGGAGTATATGAATCAGAGAAAGGGTAAGCAAGGAAGAATCCATAGTAATCCACAGTGACATTTGATAACAATACAAACCTTCTGGCCGGCATCCCCTTTCCTTCCTACAGGCCCACGGTTTATAATTTTTCTGTATTTGTGGTCTCATCCTTAATCATAGGGCAGGGCAAATGGCTAATCTTTTGTGTGTGTGATTCACTCCTCCTACTACTAGGAGTAGCACACCTCAGCTCATCCTGCCTGTTCTTACACAGCATGTAGTAAATCCATGTGGATATGTTTCATTAAGTTACAAATTTAGATTCTTCTTTCTCAGATTTGTTCATTTTGGTCAGCAGTATCTTCACTCTAAAAATAAGGGATTCTATTTGGCCCAATTATCCCTACTGCATTTAATGTGTATTAACTTTACCACCATTTTTATATAACAGGGAGTTGACTCACGTACTCTAATGAATGAATTTTAGGCATTCATAGGGGAGAGTTAAATTCACACACCACTTTCCTATATTGTTTCATTGTCTTGAGAGTCTGCTATTATTAACTTTTCTGGCTTTGTTTTGTGCTAAAAATGAACACATTTTAATCCCCTCTTGAGAATATTTTCTCATGTGCAACAGTGTAAAGAAAAACAAAACCTTGCTAAGATGCAGAACCTAGGATCAACACCTAGTCTTGGGGCTCAACCCCAGCCTGTGATGTAGATTATGACACCAAAAAATTGCAGAGGTGAATTTTGGGGTGTTGTTTATCAATTACTAAAGCCATAAATATTAACTCTTTATGTCTGGGTGCTATTTTGCCATAAGTGCACCAACTGTCAAGATTATGTATTAAAATTTTTTATATTCTTGCTAAAGAAAGGGATAACTATTCCCCCATATATTTAGGGGAAGTTTAATACAGCTTAGCTCCTTTATCATGAATTCTATACTCCTGGTCTAATGAGATCTTTATTTCTTGCTTCTGATGCTTATTATTAATTACAGAAAATGTTTAGTTTTAATATCTGTTGAACTGGCTGAGCAATACTGCAGCTTTCTTTTCCTAGTTTGAAGAATCTCAAATCTCAAAGGAAAGCCTGTTCGTTGATGAGTCTGTTTGTGTGATTAGCATTCTCTATGGTGTGGTGGCTTAGAAGGTAAAGCGTCTGCCTCCAATTTGAGAGATCTGGGTTCAATCCCTGGGTTGGGAAGATCCCCTGGAGAAGGAAATGGCAACCCACTCCAGTATTCTTGCCTGGAAAATCCCATGGACGGAGGAGCCTNTATGGTGTGGTGGCTTAGAAGGTAAAGCGTCTGCCTCCAATTTGAGAGATCTGGGTTCAATCCCTGGGTTGGGAAGATCCCCTGGAGAAGGAAATGGCAACCCACTCCAGTATTCTTGCCTGGAAAATCCCATGGACGGAGGAGCCTGGAAGGCTACAGTCCATGGGATTGCAAAGAGTCGGACACGACTCAGCAACTTCACTTTCTTTCTTTCTTTTCTTTCTTCCTATGGTGTTGAAAGGGATGTTTATACCTTCTTTGAGAGGGAGAGTCAATTCCTGTTTGTCATCTGCAAATGGTTCCCCTGATGTGTGATAACATTAAGGAAACAATTATCCTTTTCCTCTCACCTTGAAAGGGTAGGTCAAGTCACACTGTTAATGTCCCATTTATAACTATGTTGATTATATTAGTTAGTGCATAGTGTAATCTAGGAGGCTTCCCAGGTGGAGTAGTGGTAAAGAATCTACGTGCCAATGCAGGAGATGCGAGTTCAGTCCCTGGGTCGGGAAGGTCCCCTGAGGAAGGAAATGGTAATCCACTTCAGTATTCTTGCTTGGGAGATCCCGTGAACAGAGGAGCCTGGAGAGCTGCAGTCCATGGGTCACAAAGTCAGCCATGACTGAGCACATGCACACACACGCACACAACGGTGTGATCTAGACCTTCAACACCTTCCACTTCACCTTTTGTTCTGACTTGTGATTATTCTGTAGGATCTATTCATTAGGCTGAAAGGAATACGGATGACTAACTGTAACCCTGCCCTTTGACTGGGAGAATAGAACGAACAACAATGACAATAAACTCTTCAGAAAGCAGCGAATAGGAGAAAGATCACTGAAAATGGAGCCGGGAAAGAGAGTCTCCACTTAATAACTGTGCTCTGAATCTTAGTTTCCTAGTCTGTAAGGCAAAACGTAAGTTGTAGTATGAATTTTGTCTACCTCACAGGCTTAGAACTTTTAGAAGCTTGAAAATCCCCCCAACCCTTTGACACAGATTGACTTTCTAGAAAAGGGCTTTATTTTCAGAGGATTTGATTATTGAGTTATCTTTATATTCCACTGCTGTCAGTAGATGTACCATAAATGCTTCCTGAGAGTCTTTCCCTTGAAGAGATTCAAGCCCCAGTTAAATTCATCCCAATTAAAAATAGAACCCTGAGAAGCAGCAGCTGTAGCACCTCTTAAACCTCTTCAGACAACATTGAATGACTAAGTGCCTGCTACTGTGGAGATAGTGCCCAGAAAACCAGCAGCAGGCCCTCTCAGAAGATGATTACACGTCAAGTGGCCGTCAGTCCTTAGTCATTTCTAGTAGTTCAGGGGATGCTACCTTATCTTCTAAGGGTTCTAAAAGTTCCTGGGGGAAATCACATGTTCATTATTTAAAAAAGAAAAAGAAAAAAAACTCCTTCCCACAACTAAACCTTTCAAAACAATATTGAACAAATAGGCGTACAGCCCATAATGAAGTTCTGTCATTTGAAAGGAGTATGTAACTGTAGTAATGCTGGTTTCTGGCTTGGGATAAAGGGGTGATGAAGTGATAGCATTTAGAAAATGAGCATTTTGTACTTTTTTTTTTAAATTAGTTTTTTTTTTTTTGATAGTTTTTTTTTTTTTTTTTTTTTTTTAAATTTTTATTAGTTGGAGGCTAATTACTTTACATCATTACAGTAGTTTTTGTTATACATTGATATGAATTAGCCATGGATTTACATGTATTCCCCATCCCAGTCCCCCCTCCCACCTCCCTCTCCACCCGATCCCTCTGGGTCTTCCCAGTACACCATTTAAATTAGTTTTTATTGGAATGTAATTTAGTTGCTTTACAATGCTATGTTAGTTTCTGTGGTACAGCAGGATGAATCAGCCATACATATATAGAAGTGTGCTTCATGATATTACAGTAACTTTGGATGGGAACACACAGATTCTACGCTCATCATGGTGCTCATTTGTATGTGAATGTTGAATCATTATGTTTTACACTTGAAACTAACACAACACGGTGTGTTAACAATTCCTCAATTTAAAAAAGAAGGAAAAAGAAAGGGAGCAAAGGGCAAAGAAAAGAAAAAATGAGCATTAATTTCTAGGGAGATGGATAAATTCACTTCCTTTCTTCCTGTTTCTTGAAGAAATTGACTTTCAAAAGCATGACTCAAAAATTGAATTTAGTTCTAATGCATTTTATTTCTTATTTTCTTTTGATTCTTTAAGAAGAGCTTGAAAATAAACTTTCCCTATCTTTTCCATGATAGAAATTTTGACTATTAAGAAATTACCTTGCAGGGTGGGTGGGAGGGAAGTTTAAGATGGAAGGTGTATATATATATATATATATATATACACATGCATATACATGTGTATATAAATATACATATGTAGTTATGACTGATTTGCATTATACAGCAGGAACAAACACAACACTGTAAACTAATTATCCTCCAATTAAAAAATAAATAATTAAAAAAAAGAAATCACCAAATGAAAAATTAGAGAAGGTACTGTGTTTGTAAGGCAAGCTCAGAGGAAGATCTCCACTGTATTTCAGCCAGTATTCACTGTGGAAACATTTCTTTTCCCTTTTTTAAAATCTAAATTGCATGTATTCATTAATAGAAGAATGACAGTTATTTAGGCTGCCAAATCTCTTTTATAAATATTTCCATAGGTAGGTAGGATTTTATACACTTTCCCAAGGTACCAAGTTGACAGACATAGACTTTCGCTTTATTTCCATGAACTCTGAATCCAAATTCCCAGGGCCAAAATATATGCCATTCACTTCCTACATTTGGTTGTGTGATCCCTCTGAAGACTGACCCAAGAGAATCCTTTCTGATGAGACTTTCAGCACAGCCATTAGTCACTAGATAAATATGGGAATGTTTGCAAAATAGTCATTTGCAAAATAGAAGCCCCTGAAACAAAGGCTTGTCCTTCACAGTAAGAACAGGTTCAGTTTTCCTTAAAAGCTTTTGACTGCCTATGTGGTATGATTTGAGAAATCTTAAACATTTTGACCCAAAACTATTTCCTGTTGAGCTCTAAATTTTCACTAATAGTGTGTCACTAAGTGACTTAAATCTGGTCTTTCCAGATCATCCTCTTGAAAATATGGCCATAGCTCTGGAAAGGTCCTGACACCTTAGTGTGTTTGACTTTTAAGATCCTTTCTCCTCTGACAGAAGAGAGAAGGCAGGATAAGAAAACTGGATGACCGGCAAGGAAAATATGTTAGAAGAAGAAAAACGATGTACAGAATGGAAAATGAAGTAACAATGTGCCAATGAGAATCATCCTGGTCCTCTATTAAATGTCCTGAATTTATGAATGAGGATTCAGTATGCCTGTGCACTGTGTTAGCCTTCAGAATGCTCCCATTAGTTGGAGCATCAGGTTGACTGTAAATTTTGAGAATATCTTTCTGGAAAAACAAGATGGAAATATTTATCAAAGGGATAAAGAACATTCATATATGTAGAACCAATAATTTCAATTGCAGAACTCTATCCTAATAAAAGAATCAGCAATGAGCAAATTTGGACCCAAAGATATTCATTGGGACATTATTTGTAATTGCAAAAATAAAGGAGTAAGTTAAATGTTTATTAATAGGAGAATGAATACTATGAGAATGAATTTATGCCATAAATATAACTAAAAATATATAAAATATATTAATAAAAAGATCTCACACATATAAAATACATATGCATAGATAAAAATGAAATTTTAATTAGTGGCTGTCCATAAATGGTTTCATTTTTCTTTATTCCTTTTGTATTTTCCAAATTTTCCGTAATGGTCTTTATTACTTTACAGACAGAAAAAAATGTTATTAAGAAACTCATTCAAGAACAAATATTTGTGTCAAGGTTATAAACCTAAAATATGGGTGTCCTGTGAGGAGGCCGTCTATTGTTGTATAGCAATTTCCCAGTGGATAATTAAATATCTGTCAGACTTTCCCTTAGGTATGGGTCCTTTGCATTCAAGGGCTATAATTCTACATAAGATATCTATATAGGATGAAATTTGGCGTCTAATACTTGATTTTGGATACAACTAGAGCTTGCTGTGGCCACGTTCAGCTCAGTCGCTCAGTCGTGTCCGACTCTGTGCTACCCCCAGGACTGCAGCACATCAGGCCTCCCTGTCCATCACCAACACACGGAGCTTGCTCAAATTCACATCCGTCGAGTCGGTGATGTCATCCAACCATCTCATCCTCTGTCCCGTTCTCCTCCTGCCTTCAATTTTTCCCAGCCTCAGGGTCTTTTCCAGTGAGTCAGTTCTTCACATCAAGTATCTGAAGTTTTGGAGTTTCAGTTTCAGCATCAGTCCTTCCAATGAATATTTAGGACTGATCTCCTTTAGGATGGACTGGTTGGATCTCCTTGCAGTCTAAGGGACTCGCAAGAGTCTTCTCCAACCCCACAGTTCAAAAACATCAATTCTTTGGCCCTCAGCATTCTTTAGAATCCAACTCTCACATTCATACATGACTGCTGGAAAAACCATAGTTCTGACTAGACGGACCTTTGTTGACAAAGTAATGTCTCTGCTTTTTAATATGCTGTCTAGGTTGGTCATAGATTTTCTTCCAAGGAGCAAGTGTTTTTTTAAGTTCATGACTGAAATCACCATCTGCAGTGATTTTGGAGCCAAGAAAAATAAAGTTTTCACTGTTTCCATTGTTTCCCCATCTATTTGCCATGAGATGGGACTAGATCCCATGATCTCCATTTTTCGAATGTTGAGTTTTAAGCCAGCTTTTTCACTCTCCTCTCACTTTCATCAAGAAGCTCTTTAGTTCTTCTTTACTTTCTGCCATAAGGGTGGTTTCATCTGCACATCTGAGGTTATTGATATTTCTCCTGGCAATCTGAGGTTATTGATATTTTTCTCCTGGCAATCTTGATTTCAGTTTGTGCTTCATCCAGCCCAGCATTTCTCATGATGTACTCGGCATACAGGTTGAATAAGCAGGGTGACAATATACAGCCTTGATGTACTTCCCCAGTTTGGAACCAGTCTGTTGTTCCATGTCCAGTTCTAACTGTTGCTTCTTGACCTGCATACAGATTTCTCAGGAAGCAGGTAAGGTGGTCTGGTATTCCCATCTCTTTCAGAATTTCCCACAGTTTGTAGTGATCTACACAGTCAAAGGTTTTGGTGTAATCAATAAAGCAGAAGTAGATGTTTTTCTGGTATTCTCTTGCTTTTTTGAAGATCCAACGGATGTTGGCAATTTGATCTCTGGTTTCTCTGCCTTTTCTAAATTCAGCTTGAACATCTAGAAGTTCACAGTTCATATACTGTTGAATCCTGGCTTGGAGAATTTTGAGCATTACTTTACTAGTCTGTGAGGTGAGTGCAAACGTGTGGCAGTTTGAGCATTCTTTGGCATTGCCTTTCTTTGGGTTTGGAATGAAAACTGACATTTTCCGGTCCTGTGGCCACTGCTAAGTTTTTCAAATTTGCTGGCATATTGAATGCAACACTTTCACAGCATTATCTTTTAGGATTTGAAATAGCTTAACTGGAATTCCATCACCTCCACTAGCTTTGTTTGTAGTGATGCTTCCTAAGGCCCACTTGACTTCACGTTCTAGGATGTCTCGTTCTAGGTGAGTGATCACACCATCGTGATTATCTGGGTTATGAATATCTTTTTTGTATAGTTCTTCTGTGTATTCTTGTCACCTCTTCTTAATATTTTCTGCTTCTATTAGGTCCATACCATTTCTCTTTTATTGTGCCCATCTTTCCATGAAATGTTGCCTTGGTATCTAATTTTCTTGAAGAGATTTCTAGTCTTTCTCATTCTGTTGTTCTCATCTATTTCTTTTGCACTGATCACTGAGGAAGGCTTTCTTATCTCTGCTTTCTATTCTTTCAAACTCTGCATTCAAATGGGTATATCTTTCCTTTTCTCCTTTGCCTTTCACTTCTCTTCTTTTCTCAGCTATTTGTAAGGCCTCCTCAGACAGCCATTTTGCCTTTTTGCATTTCTTTTTCTCGGTGGTGGCCTTGATCATTGTCTCCTGTACAGTGTCACAAACCTCCGTCCATAGTTCTTCAGGCACTCTGTCTATCAGATCTAATCCCTTCAATATATTTGTCATTACCACTGTATAATCATAAGGGATTTGATTTAGGTCATACCTGAATGGTCTAGTGGTTTTCCCTACTTTCTTCAATTTAAATCTGAATTTGGCAATAAGGAGTTCATGATCTGAGCCACAGTCAGCTCCCGGTCTTGTTTTTGCTGACTGTATAGAGCTTCTCCATTTTTGGCTGCAAAGAATATAATCAGTCTGATTTCATTATTGACCATCTGGTGATGTCCATGTGTAGAGTCTTCTCTTGTGTTTTTGGAAGAGTGTGTTTGCTATGACCAGTGCGTTCTCTTGGCAAAACTCTATTAACCTTTGCCCTGCTTCATTTTGTACTCCAAGGCCAGATTTGTCAGTTACTCCAGGTGTCTCTTGACCTCCTACTTTTGCATTCCATTCCCCTATTATGAAAAGGACATCCAAATTTGAGATTAAAAAGCAAATTCGGTGGAGTATAATTTTTTAAGCCATTTTCTTAGGACTGGACAATGGCAGATACATGTGAGAAGCAGAGGAAGTCTTGAGTTAGATCTCTCTTATCCCAAACGTATATGTTATAGTTTCACTTACTCACTGAATGTGAACCCAGGTCATCAAACTCTTTTTTCCTAATTTTGGTTTGCTTTCCATGTTTCAGACACATTTGCCTTATCTAAAGAGCGGATCTGGATTTACTGTCTTCTTACCATTTTGGTGGTCTTTTCTCCACCTGGAATGCATCTTTGACTTATCCCCTCTCATGTTCTTTGGGCCTAAGTTACATGAAAGCTCTTCCTTGAAGCCTATACTGCTCCCCCTACGAGTGTGATCACCCTCTCCTTTGAACCTCCATGATACATGCAGTGTGTTAAGACTTTCCATTAGATTGTCAATTTTTTAAGCACAAGTACTGCTATCTTTTATTCCCTATGCCTTGCCATGGACAGAGGAGCCTGATGGGCTATAGTCCATGGGGTCGCGAAGAGTTGGACACGACTGAGCGAGTAGCAGTTGCCCATGTTGGCAGAATTGAGCTTATCTATTTAATGAGTTAATTGAACTTACCTATTTAATGAATGAGATGGTAATTTGGCTGGCCCAGAGTCCCCCTTCCTCTCTTCAAGCGAGGTAGATATGATATGCCCATCTATCAACTCAAAAAAGTTGCTGCAAGTAAATTTAAAAACTTTTTGGAAAGAGGCAGATTTCTAGAGTAAACTGCTTACTGATGAAAAATATGGAGTGCAGAGCTACAATCTATACTTGATTTAAGTTACCAGGGCCCTCCACCATTTTTTACTTAGCTGTATAATGTAGAAGAATGATGTGGGCTTCAGTGTTAGAAAGAACTGGGTTAAATTTAACCTTGACACTTATTGGCAATGGGTTAAATGATTTATCCTCTCCATGCCTCAGTTTCTTCATCTGTAACATGTGAAATTAATTAATGGCTGTCTCCCAGCCTTGTTGTGAGGACTATGTGAAATGAGGCATGAAAGCACTTAACATAGTATCTGGCACACAGATTTAAGTCTCTGCACTCATGAGGACAGAGGATTCATCATGTCCTGAACAATTTATGTCTTCTTGGAAAGGCAGGGCTAAGCCCCCTAGAATTTGTAGGGCAGTATTTACTTAATTTTTGGGTCTGTTGCTCTGAAATCACTCATCTATTCTCATAACACATGCCCCAAAACAGTGGCCCCTTTTGAAAATTGTGAGGGAATACCGAGATGAAATGTTGAATAAATTTCTGCAGTCAAAAGACTCTGGCTGTAAATATGCATTATATGTGCTTCCCAGATGACTCCGTGGTAAAAAATCTGCCTGCCAATGCCGGAGACTCAAGAGATACAGATTCAGTTCTTGGGTTGGGAAGATCCCCTGGAGAAGGGAAGGGCAACGCAGTCCAATAAGCTTGCCTCGAAAATTCCATGGACAGAGGAGCCTGGCTGGCCACAGTTCATGGGGTCGCAAAGAGTCAGACACAACTGAGTGACTAAGCTCACATCCACCCCCCCACCCCCAACACACAATCTATGAATTTTTTTATACACTCAAAGCAGGAGACTAGTGGACTCCAGAGATGAACTGCTTGAATTAAAACTCCTACTGTGGTGGGGACTTCCCTGGTGGTCCAGTGGCTAAGACTCCACCCTCCCACTGAAGGGGCCTGGGAACTAGATCCAACATGCCGAAGCTAAGAGTTCGCATGCAGCAACTAAAGGTCTTGGGTGTTGCAACTAAGAACAGGTGCAGCCAAATGTATCAAAAACATAAACTTTTAAAAACCTCCTACTGCTGCATCGAAACTTTGTTTCTGAGAGGTTTTTGTCTGTAACATGGGCTAAGACTAATAGTAATAATAAGAATACGTGCCAGAAAGAGCTTCTTTGAGGATAAAATAAATGCATGTCTGCCAAGCATGTAAAACAGTGTCCAGCACATAGTAAGCAGTCGACCAAAGCTAACAGCTCCTAATCAATTAATTCAAAAGATGGAGCTATTGAAGGACTATGTTGAGCCAAGTCTTCCAATGATGAAATGAAGCTTCTGTTTCAGCCCTGGTGCCATATTTGGTGGTACAAGGAAGGGAGCATATACCTTGGAGATTTGTGCCTCACAGTGATTTGGACTTGTTAACAGCACTAGTCAAGGAACACAGTGTGCTGAAAAGGTTGCCAGACCCCAAATGAGATAAGGAGCATCCTGTGAGCAGTGACAGATTTGAACACTCCCGACAAATAGACAAAGTGATGGCTCTGCCTAAGAAATCTTGTCCTTCAATCTTGACGCCACTGATTTTTTTTTTTCCCCAGATGCTGCTGACATCTGAAAAGAATAAACACAGGAACTTCCTGATAATGGAACATCTTTATTTTATGATGTAATTTTTACCTCTACTTGCAACGTGGGCATTTATTACATTGGAAATAAAGTGGTATGCCTGGGTGGATAACCAAGTAACTCGATGACCCTAATAAATAAAGAAAATGTACAATTTGCTCCGATTACCATATTGGCTTCCTTGGTGGCTCAGTGGTAAAGAACCTGCCTGCAATGCTGGAGATCCAGGTTCGATCCCTGGGTTGGGAAGATGCCCTGGAGAAGGGAATGGCAATCCCCTCCAGTATTCTTGCCTGGGAAATCCCATGGACAGAGGATCCTGGTGGGCTACAATCCATGGGGTTGCAAAGAGTCAGACATGACTTAGTAACTAAACAGCAACAAACACTATGGCTAAGTCATTTGATGTTTCAGGCACTATCTTATTGTATTTAGCTCTTAACTTTCGGGTACTGAATCTCCTGTAATGATCGATCAGACTTTTCTCTCTTTCTCTCCTGGTGGTCTACCTCTCATCTGTTGTCCTTCTCATGAGTCTTTTTTAAACTTAATCTTCTAACCTTTGATTGAATATCTATTTTGGCTGTAATAGTTTTTAATTTATAATTTGAGAGATGATTTAACATATTTCAAACTTTTTTTCTGCTCCCTGCACACCGTCTCTTCTACTTTTGGGGGGAAGGGTTGTTTGTTTCTGCCTTTTGTATTAGGAGATTTCCTTGAGTGTCTGGTGAACCTAGACTGTTCATTCATAATTGTAAGTCAGAACTATATAGGTTTTGTGCTTCACAGAAGATTAACATGGGAGTAACTCCTGTTTCTTGTTGGGGGTGGTCCCCAAAATGTCCCAGTCTTAGTTCTCTCCATCTGTGTCTGAAGAAGAATTTCACACTGGAAGGTATATGGTTGAATGCTGGCATTCTCAGAACTGAATGTGGTGATGGAATGAGGGAGTATCACTCCTCAGTCTACAGACTTTCACTTCATTGCCCTCTTTTTTAATACAGGTGTGACATATGGCCACAACAATGCCAGTTCTTCACACCTCCCTATATTCATGCCCTTTGCTGTGTGACGGCAGTTCCTCTTGCCTCAGAGGTGTCTCTTTCTCCATGAAGTAAATCTGGGCTACTTGTTACTTCGCTTTGGGGAATAGATTGTGGCAGAATTGAAAGTGTGGCCCTTTCAAGCCTGGGACTCCAAAACCTCATGAATTTTGGCCTGTCCTCTCACACCTGTCATCAGCACAAGGACACGTTGAGCTCTCCTGCTGGAAAACGAGAGGTTTGTGGATCAGCCCAGTGTCACGCTGCTCACCCTAACCTAAGTGAGCCGAGATCAGCCAACCATCTCCCAATGTGTTTGCACCTCCAGCTAACCCCATACTCATAAGCAGTGCATTGTTGTTGTTGAACACCACTGTGGTTTGGGGGTTGTTTGTTACAAAGCATTATTGCCACAACAGATAACTATCAATATGCTACAAGTTTCTACCCTCCTTCTCAGGGCTGCAAACCTCTTCAGAAATTAACCTCTTGCCTTCTGCCCAGACTGCCGGTAAGTGACCATGTTATACAGAGTAGGAGAGGAATTGGGTTGATTCACGCATGCGTGCCAAGTTGCTTCAGTCATGTCCCATTCTTTGCGACCCTACGGACTGTAGCCCGCCAGGCTCCTCTGTCCATGGGATTCTCCAGGCAAGAATATTAGAGTGGGTTGCCATGCCCTCCTCCAGGGGATCTTCCTGACCCAGGGATTGAACCCATGTCTCCTGTGGCTCCTACATTTACAGGTGGTTTCTTTACCGCTAAGCCATGGGGTAAGCCCATTGGGATGATTAATTCTACCTTATTTGTACTAATTTTCCACAGATCCTCTTTTGAGTCACACCCTGGGCCTCATTCTCAGCTGTCTCTGATGTGACATATTCCTGAGCTTTTCCAGATCTCTGTGTCATAACTGGAGGTGTTTCTTTTTGATTCTCTTGCTGTAGGCACCAGGATTTAGCCTTTTCCCTTTGTCTAAGTCACCTGCCCATTCACTTTCCAGTGTCTGAGATTTTTTTGCTCATTCTTGTCTACATTCATTCCTCCTCGGTTCATTTTGTCCCTTGAAATTTAAACCTCTTTAATTTTTTTTCCTCTCATATGGAAAGATTTAGGAGGACTTGGGGATAATATGAGTTTCAGTATTTCATATTTAGCCGGAAATATCTCATTATTTTTTTTCCTCCCTGATTCTAAGTCTTGGTTTTGTTTGTTGTTTCTTGTGATCGTTTATCTGCTAGTGTGATCTACTTCAGGGTGATAAATGATATGATTATAAACATCTCTCTGAAAAATTTAATAGTATAATGATAAATGATTCTCCCGCCAGTGCTTTCACTTGTTTGTGTTGAATCTTATATGTTAATTCATTCCATGACTACTTATCAAGGGTATACTATGCACCAAGTATTGTTCTAGCATTGGTGAAACAGTGAAGAACAGAATAGACTTGGTTGCTCTCCTTAGGGAACCTACAACATAGATATCTACCAACTGTCTTCCCTGAGCACTTATTTCTGCATTGTCCTAGTAAATATTACTGAGGTCACCAAACAGTCACCTCCACTGGTCACTGGGCTTATTATAAAGCTCAGCCAGTTAAAAAATGGAGTCCCATTATTGGATGGCATCACTGACTCAAAGGACATGATTTTGAGCAAACTGGGAGAGAGTGAGGGACAGGGAAGCCTGCTGTGATGCATCCATGGGGTAGCAAAGAGTCACATTTGACTTAGTGACTGAACAATACATAGTTGTCAGCTTAACTGTGCTGTGCTAAGTCACTTTAGTCATGTCCGACTCTTTAGCCAACCAGCCAACCAGGCTTCTCTGTCCATGGGCTTCTACAGGCAAGAATACTGGAGTGGGTTGCCATGCCCTCCTTGTCAGCTTAACTATTGGGCATCAACTTATCCTCTTTAACTTTCGGGAGTGTAGTGCAGGGTCCTAAAAAAATTATAATATCTTGTCAATATTAAATATTAATTAAATTAAATAATTTAATTAAAAATTTGCAGGATTATTCTCTTTCTGACACAAAATAAGATAATTATAATATCTTGTCAATAATAAATATTAATTAAATTAAATAATTTAATTAAAAATTAAATATCTTGTCAATATTAAAAAGCAGGATATTCTCTCTCTCTCTGACACATACAAGCATTTATAAGCTTGCATGCATACACATATACATTCTGATTTCCAACTTCTGAAAAATCAGAAGTGCTCCAACATTGGGCCACCTTTCTGCATGACAACATTAAGCAGAACTCATAGGGGTGGACTTCTTTATTTTTTTTAGAATTTATTTTATTTTTGACGGCACCACACAGCTTGTGGGATTTTCATTTCCCAATCAGGGACTGAATCCAGGCCCTCAGCAGTAAGAGTACAGAGTCCTAACCACTGGGTCACCAGGGAATTCCCAGGGTTGACCTCTCAAATAGGGTTTGATCTCATTTGTCAACGTCCCCACAACTTCCCATTGTAATGGACCTGGCCATTTTAGATGTTTACATTAACATAAGATGCAAAATTACTTTTCCCAGATCACATTCTTTTTCTGTTATTAATCAGTTCTGCTTAAATATAAATGTATTTATTGGTATATATTTTAAAGTGCATTTCAATATTTGTTTCACCAGTATTTGTTAATGACTAGGTTGTGGATTCTGAACAGGTTTTCAGCCTTCTGAGGTATTCTGTGAGATTCCTCATCTACCGGATCTCCAACTCTTGATGCCAGATCACTGTCCCCAGTTGCCCCAGTAGCCTCCTCCAAAATGTTTCTGCTTTGTTTTCACTTTCATTTAATCTCCACACATGACTGAACTCATGACTTCTTTTATTCAACTTCATATTCCCCCTTCAGATCCAGTCTTCATATTTGCTCTCTGTGGTATTTTGATGTGGATATTCCTTTACCACTCCATCCTGGCTTCTTCCTCCAGTCCCTATTGCCTCCTGTTAACTTTGGTGGTTCAAAAGAATGGTTTACCTTACCCTTTCATCTCTGCAGGATGTTAGCTGATTCAGCTCTGCTGAGGCCCACTGCTCCCAAGATCAAAAAAGGGGGTTCAGACATCCCGTAACCCTAGGATCCTATGATAATTACATTGAGCAGAACATTCTTGTGATATTAAGATAGATTTGAACACTTGAAATAAACTTTACAATTGGTTTCCACTTATGGAAACTCATGAACAGGGATTTATTCTCTCCACCTCCTTAGGAAAAAAAATAAATCTTTGTCCTTTTAGGGAGCTTCCCTGGTGGCTCAGATAGTAAAGAGTCTGCCTGCAGATCTGCCTGCAGGAGATCCAGGTTCAGTCCCTGGGTTGGAAAGATCCCCTGGAGAAGGACATGGCAACCCACTCCAGTATTCCTGTCTGAAGAATTCCATGGATAGAGGAGCCTGGTAGCTATAGTCCAGGGGTTGCAAAGAGTTGGACACAACTAAGGGACTAACACTTTGTTCTTTAGGTACTATATGGTGACCTTATATTTTGCCTGATTCAAGAAATGAGATTAATAAAGGCAAATACAGTCCTGGAGTATTGTAGTGCATGCCCGCTCAGTTGTGTCTGACTCTTTGCAAACTTGTGGACTGTAGCCCATCAGGCTCCTCTGCCCATAGGATTCTGCAGGCAAGAATACTGGAGCAGTGAGCCATTTCCTACTCCAGCATATCTTCCTCACCCAGGGATCGCACCCATATCTCATGTGTCTCCTGCATTGGCAGGCAGATTCTTTACCACTGCGCCACCTGAGAAGCCCAGGTTTTTGTAGTAGGAGGACAATATTAGAAGAAAGAGGATGATCTTATTCTTCCCCACAGTGTTCAGCCCACTACTTCCAGGCGTTGTGTTTCCACCTACACACCATCAAATGAAGACAATATAGATAAACTAGAGGGGGTCCCCATGAGAATCTTTAGGATAGATTGTGGGAAGCCAAGGCCATATTAGCTGAGGAAAGATTGAGAAGCCTGGGAAGAGTAAACTTGGAGAAGAGAAGACTTGGGGATGGTTTGAGAAAGGACAAGGAATATAGTTATCATCAGAGCCATCA